TAGTGCTTAAGAAGCTAGTATGACATCATTTAGGAAGTAAATAGACAAAATCAATGAAATCACGAAGCTAAAGGAGCGTGGTTGCGCGATCGTAAAATGTATTTTCAATGGTGTTCAGGTTAAGCAATGCTGAAGTATGTACATGCAACGAAACAATGAAAATCTGGGACCCTAGTTATTAATGTTAGTCGGCAAACTAACTATAAAATGAGACAATGACATTAGAAATCTTTGTACATGTTTTAGAAATCCGTTTTTTCGCAAGACATTTAGACGATCGTAAACGTTGAGTCGCAAATCGGTTTAAACCGTCTTGTAGCTAACTCGGTAAAATTTCAGATTTGATTGATGCCACTGAAGAGCAATTAACTGGATCCAGTTGTGCAACATAATAATCAGCTTCATAATTAGGCACTACGGTCTGAGACACCAAACGAATCAGTTGGATAATAATGGCACACGTGTCTGGCCGACCAGAAACAGTGGTCCACGTAATGAGTAGTTTTACTGCTCTACTACTGACTTCCTTTATTTCTCCTGCTATGAACCAGAATCTAATCACAGGCTCGCCAAGCCAACATTGATCACCACCGTGTCACTTGTTTAATAAAGTGGAATAACTAGTAAAAATCGTGGAGATAAAAACATGGTAAGTGTTCCACACCAAAACCACAGTAATGCAATTTTCGACGATAAAAAGAAGACAAGATGATCCGTGTGTCATAACCTACTGGGAACCACGGCAAACAGCTATAAACAGCCCGCTTTAAAATAAAGTGTTCATCTGAGTTGATCACCCGCCTGCGACGTACTATTTCAATAAATCAATAGATAAGCTTTTTTTAAGTTGCGATGATCAGTTTACGAAAGCTATGGTATTCTTCTCACTTTTTTCATTGTTGGAAAGCAAATCTACTCTCTGACGAAGCTCGAGTCAATCTATCCAGATGCTAAACTTAAGTTTCCTTAAATTTGATTTGTTTATTAGAATATATGGTTTACTGACTATTAATTAAATGATTGATGACTCACAATTCATTCGTTTGCCTGGTTTTGTTTACTAAAGGTTTTAAACTGATGGTGATCATTAGTTGGTTACATTATTGACCTGTGAAGTAAGGCTAAATAATGGTGTAGCGGTAAATAAATCCCCAAAATAAATAGCCCTGTAAGTTTTCGACATTGGATGCTGACCACATGTTTTAATGGACTCACTTAGCTGAAGGCGCTCAGTCGTGCATCCTCACCAAATCACGTGTGATAATGCCGTGCTCAACATCTACTGTAATCGCTAGCCAGATTCGATCAGACGATTCTCGATATATTGGTAGTCATCAAATATATCTTCCAATCTCCTCGATTCTGTCTTTTGATTTCTCTTGGTGAGTACTAGTTATATTAGAAGGTGTTACTGGCTAAAGCGTTATCAAACACTGAATACCTGTGCCATCTCCAATAGGAATAAAACAAAAACAAACAGGGACCGTTCGAAAATGGCAGACCAAACACAAGCAAAGAATAGAATTAAGTGACAGTGGTAAAAATCTGTATTTTTACTCCAGCTAGCTTGGCAGCTGGGATCATGGTTATATAAGAGATTCATGTGATAATTTAGATAGTTTGTCTAGTGTTATTACGTCTGTTTATCTCTCCCTCAGATTTTCAAAATTGTCCGTTTAAAACATCAACGTAAATGAACGCCATATATATTCCTTTATTCTCAAATAAAACCCAGGGATACGATTTTCCAGCATGTTGTTCGCTATCGATGGTCATTCTAATCTCTACGACAAACCTTCTGAGAAACTATTTTAAGACCTATGAAGGGAAATATCACAGGCCATGGCCTGGTCAGATTATTTTCTGAGAGTGCCCTCACTACCTAATATGTTGTATGGGGACACAGAGTTTTAAATAGATCATGCTTGTATTTCCACTCTCTAAAGACCTGTAATGTGCAATCTGTACACATTTGGCGCGTGCTCCTGGTGACGAAGAAAGCTTCTGAAATGGTGATAGAAATTGGCATAAATGACCACAGAGTGCGGAGCTGAGTGTCCCTCTTCGTATACTCCTCCAGCTTTAAACTAAATCGGAGTTAGTTTCTTCCGATCAGTCGTTACTTCTTTTCACGAATTAAGATTGATTTGACTAAGAGCTTATGTCAAGCATCACACGAAATTTGTAGTCATCGTGCAAGTGAAAGCACAAATATTGTGTCTGCCTACAGTTGATAATACTAAAAAACGATTAAAATGCCTTCTGAAATTATCTGGCTGTCGGGTGAAAATTTATTCAACAAACTTGTTGAGGGGACTTTATTTCATTATTGATGATCAACCCTTTCAGCTGGAGTCATTGACGAAACACTGAGGAAAATTTATTATACTGCTGCTAACATGTTCATGTCCAATATTTCAAGATATTTCAAAACAAGATGAGACTACATAGACATATGTGTTTAACCAAGAATAAAATCTCCTTAGGGAAACATTTGTTACGTTTCTCATCCTTATCTCTAAGATCGAGGAAGAATGGATTTAGTTTACAACTCTAGTACGAATGCTTTCAAAAGTACATTTAAGTAATTGAATTAATCGCGTACAGTAGCGCTAATGAAAGTCGTAGTATAACAGGAATAATTGGACACAAGTGAACTGAAATAATAGTAGTTACCACAGTCGAGGTATCCATGTCCTCATGAAGAATGAAATACAGTGTAACTAGGTATCCCAATTGTCAAATCAGGACCAGTAAACGGACAATGACATAGGAGTCTGTTTTTCGAAAAATTGCAACGATTTCACCTCACTGACAATGATATTAGCATGACTCCAACTACAATTGTTTTCGTCAAATATTCTCACTGATCCTGAGCTCCAACCAATATCTGTAAAACCCAAACGGTGCGAACCATGAACAAGGCAATAATGCGGGGATACTGTCGCAAGAAAATGAGATGTTAAAGCGATCGAATAAATTCAGTGGTATAGGAACCTTAATAGTCGTGCCAAATTAACACCTGAATTAGATCTCTTCATGATTTATTTGGATTTATACTGGGACACAATAGAATCACCAACAACTTGTAGTGACCTACTTTTAACAAGAGAACGCGATTTAATGGAAACAAACATTTGCAGTTGTACCAGTGATATTTTTACTGTGTTCGTTTGTTTAACTGTGCTCAACACAGCCATATTATTGCTATTTCATTGATTTTGACCTTGCATAGGTTCGGTTACGCTCGGTAACTACGCTTGTACTCCTTTGGCACGGTCTCGGTATCCTCTCGATACCACGAGATCGCCAACAAATACATCTCCACTACAGCCATCAACTGCCTTCTGATATTTGGCTTACGGTGGATTTTATCGGTTAACTGGCACGTAGTCATCTTTTAGTGGTGTTCATAGTCAAACGCTAATCGACACCACTCTACAAACTATATTAGAGAGGAGGTAACACTGAAAAACCCACAGTATATGACGTGAAGCCAATATCTTACAATTCAAGTCTATTCTGTAACGTATACGAATTCTCCAAAGCGTCCTGTCAACATTTCTCAAATATTAATAGATCATTATATCAATAAAATATGACCGATAAAGAGATAACTGGACGGCCAACTGGATATTATATGAATTGACATGCAAAGCACTCGACTAAATCGCGTCACTGGGTATAAATTATACAACGAAACTACGTTAATGCAACTGACCATCACATACTCTGCCAGATATTATATCCTAAAATGAATATACGGGTGTGTGGGTCGAACATCTCTGTATCGGACAACGTAATCGTACAACTTTATTATTACGGGTAAAATTAAACGAAATTTGCAGCCAAAATATTTTAAAGGAATTATAAGTATCACTGAGTGGTTGCCACAGATATCCAGTATTAGCCAGTACCTTTGTCCACAACACCTTTATAATCGAAGATTACCAGCCCAGTCAAATCGGAGGTCAGTAATGAATGAGTTCGGAGATATGTGTAGGATGGCTCCCAACTTGTTCAGAAGCGTTTAGTCTAAGCTGGCTTTTAGGTGCAAGAGACACGTTGCACAGTGCACCCACTTGTGATCTGGCTCGGATGCGTAACCAACGTCCTTCAGCTATGGTGCATCTAGTAAAACTAATGAATTCAGCATAAATGTTGAAAACCTACAGAACTATTTATTCCAGGGATTTATTTGCCACTATGGACTTTCAGAATTAGGGTAACCAAAATTTTAGCTTCTCATATGTAGGTATTCAATGTAACTTTTGTGCTTTAATAACTTTCTTATAAGATCGTCCATCTTGAGGACGGTGGATTTCAGTGCTTATATTGTCCTAAACTTTCCATCTAAAAAGGGCCTATTATGCGTAGTGAGGGTAAAAATTTTTTCAGCTGAACATGATATGCTGAGTATTACCTTGAATTTATATAGTGGCAACATACAAATGGTACGTATGTCATAAACTCTGGGTGAAATCTAACAGGATAAAATATTCGGATTGATCCATAACGTATGGTAACACCCGACACTAGTGTGAAATCAGTAACTTTTTTTCTGGGTAGTAATAATTTGGTATTAATGGTAACATACCGTTCTACAGAAAAGTTTCCCTGAGTAAAATGAGAAAAGGAGGTATTTTCGACTTGTGTTTACTGAAGTCTATCCAGTGTAACGCAGACTGCAACTCATCTAGCGGCTCAAATGTGGACGGTAGAGTTAGGCTACCCTCCTCTTCGAAAAAATGCTCCTTTAGCTGTTTGAATATATACCATTCCAAGTTCACTTTCGAGATACGGATATTTATAATGAGCCGTTTAGTCGCTACAACGTTTTCAATTGCAAACCAATAACTCGCAAATCTTAGATGACACAGTAAGCCAACGCTGACAGTTTTCACAACTTTGTTTAACCTCATACACGCACTAATCAGAGTTAAATGTGCATTGTTTACTAAACCCACTCTTTGTTGAACCCAATGAACAATAAGACAAATACAAGGATATTCAGAGTTCTTTTAGTAATATAGGTAATAAATTGACTGAAGGCGAGCATGGTACCGAAAACTGTTTACAGGACGAATGTTGGGGTATTTAAACACGAACCAGGTAATGGTTATTCCATAATCGGTTACACAAACATAAGTCAGTTCAAAGTTTATATACATTAAATGAGGGACAGCTATTTGCCTGGTTTCGGCTAATCAGATAAGATTTCACCTTGAGATAGTCGGCTGAGTTTAACCGGTAATAAGACGACCATTTCTTTAGCTATTCTTAATTCCTCACAATCCTTTATCGGCGTCAAGGCATCACGTTTTATATGGTTTTCTGCGAGAGCGACCAGTTGTACATAAAATTCTAAAGCTTTTGTTAAATTTTGAATTTTTTCTGTAGTACAGGTCGAAATAAGTTGAGAATAGAGCCGAGCAGTATGAAGACATGTCACCTGAAAAAAAAAGATCATTTGCTCAAATGATGTTTTCTAGATGGCCACTTCAAATATTCCTAAACATTTCTATGCCTATCTTCCTCGATATGATTATAATTAATACTAAAATTTAGTGGTAGAGCCTCAGTGCTCAAAAGTATTTAAAGCTACTAATGGGCATGAAGGTTTGGTAGAAGCTCTGTTGTATAAACTACTAAACATGTCATCATTAGTTAACAAATATGCGTGTTCAGTTATGCCTGTGTATCACAAATGATTGATTTCACTTTTATTGTTGTACTGGGTTGAAACCTTCACTGTATCTACTTCTAGTTTCAATTTCCATATTGTCTCAATCTGGGGCTTGTGTGTGCCAGACAGGTGATCAGCTCACATTTTAATTTTTTTCTCTTACAGCTGTCCTCACTCACATGCTCACCTAATACACAAAGTACCTTGTCGCTAGATACGAACCTCTACAGTCTCTGCTCTATTTGTTTGAGACAATCTACAAATATCTCGAGGGTTTGGCTTTATTTAATAACAACTGTTACTGTTGTTAGTATTTGTTTGACCTAAGGAATACTCGAGAACAAGTGGATGATATTCCTGACTGGTAAACCACTTCGTAGGGTACATTTTATTTACACTTCAATTACTTAAGCATTTATGCTAGTATATCAAGTTAAATATGTTTAAGAATAACGCGCAGATCTTATGTTGGAATCGTAGATGGATTTTAAAAGTTTCTTAGTTTGGGTCCCAGTTTTATGAAATACGTAAACATAATCAACACGCACGCGCTTTAAGAACGGGAAGTTGCATTCCTCAAACCTTTGCTGTGTCCTTACGCAACAAATGTACCGTTTCTGGTCTAATGAGTCTGCCCTCAGCTTTACGTTTGGTAAGTTACTTTTTGAGTTTTAGCCAATTTAATAAATAACTGTGGTTCTTCCTCAGCTTACTATCCGGTTTTTCAGTTTTTCATGTCAAGTCTAGTTTCAATTTATCCTAACCTTTTGTGCCACCACTTTTTATCCATATTTAGTGAACTGTTTTTTTCTGGTCGTAAAGTTTTGCTGGGATCTATATAACAATTTACGTCGTCATAATCACGAGGAATTCAAGCAAGCTACCCAGTTGCCCTTTAGCTGTTATATCTGGCATGTAGTGTGACAATTGCAAAGGTTGGTTCCATAAAGCGTCCACAGACATTACAGTGAACGCCAACAACAGACTTAGTAAGTTCAATCATTGGTGGGTGTGTGTCACGTGCAACACGGGTGCTGAGGTTTCGCTGAGTAACATCACATTCTCTTGACAGGTCTGAGGAAAACGTCAGCAAACCTGAAAAAAGGCAGTCTTATAACGATTATGCAAAAAAGATGCGCAATAGAAACGAGAAAGGGGATCTCGACAGCGCTACTATCGATGGAGCACGTTATATCACTACTGAGGACATGCTGTAACTCAACATTATCATAATATCGACGGTACTATACTCCCTCAGTGAACTTGGGTCTCCCAGCACAGGATTCGCGAATGCAATGGTGGTCCACACAAACTCTGAAGGTGTTGGACACCGTTAACAAAATTAAAAAGGACCGGGTGTCAAATTCTAAGAAGCTAAACATCCCAAATATTGCTGTGAAGTCAACTGAAGATTTTGCCGCACAGTCTACCCCCCAGAATGTCTAACCGGTCAGCAAAGAGCGTAGGTATCGGAAACACGCCTCGACCTCCAAACAAAAAGGTCCTCAACCTGAAAGTACACGAAAACTTGGGAAAGCAGTAACGGTTCGTGATGATTCTCTCATAATCATGACGGAGATTCTAGATCCCGGATGATGAAGATAAACTTTTCACCCCTCATATGGTGGCTGCAACTTTGGAAGCATTTTGTGACCACAGATACAGGTTGCCAACTGGAATCCATATGCATCTGGATAGTCCACATGACACCATGATCAAACACAAAGGCAAGTTGGAACTGACAATTCTACTTGTGAGCTGTCTAGATCATAAAAAACGTGGAAAGGACAGGAGTTACCAACTCGGGGAACCCTGTATACGTAGGTTACCTGTCCATTAACACAGGAGCCATGCAAATAAACAGGACGGGAAAGCTCACGCATTTCAAATTGAAAGCATAAACCGCTTATTTATGAACGCTGCGAGTTTATCGAATGAAATGGATGAACTATGTGAATTCAGAAATACTAATAATGCTCATATGATAGAAATATCTGAAACTTGGATATCTTCTCAGTTTACGGACCCGGGAGTTCTTTGTTTCGCAATGATAGAAATACAGGAATCGGGGGCGGAGTGGGCTTGTACTTACGATCTTGCCTGAAGGTACATCAAGTGCACAACCAAGAGTTTATCAATCTTGATGAGTCCGTATGGTGCTCAGCAAGTTTGTCTATAACCTCGAGGTGTCTAGTTGCACTCATCTACAGGGAGGCCACTACTGACATCGACAAGACAAACGTATGCTAGGAGGATTATCCCACTTTACTCGTCTCGGATTCCCTCATGTCCTGATGTCAGAGGACTTCAATCTTCCTAAAGTGAGTTTCGCGGAACAATCGTTTATTGGAGGTGAAAACTCTACTGAATCTCAGTTATTCAGATATTGAGGTGCTGAGATTATTTGAAAATATGAAGTCGGCAAATCGTTGGAGAAACAGTCAGATGCCGTCTCGTTTAGACCGGGTATTTACGAAAGGAGAATACCTAACTGGAAACCCCTCAATTCTGGCTCCCTTAGGGAAGAGTGATCATGCCGTCACAGCCTTTAGTTTTATCAGCAAAGCCGAGCTAAGACATCCCACCAACAACAGGCAATGGAATTTCAGACGGTTGGATGTGTCCGCTTAACGGGACAATCTACAGTAGGTGGATTGGGAAGTTCACCCCCAACTTGATGCTCGTTGGGATTTCCTACTGCACACGATCTTATGTGCTACAAGGACGTCTGTCCGTCAAATTGTCTCTAAAATCTACAAGCGACCTACAACCGTCAGGAACTGCACTCTTGGTTTGCTAAGTCGTAAAAAGCACTACTGGGCGGAATACAAACAAACTGGTGACAACGGTGCATACAGGCAATACAAACATATAAGGAACATATGCACAAAGGCAATAAGAGAAAACAGGCTTCAGTACCAGATAAAGCTTATCGACAAATTTGTCCAGACTACAGCTACAACTTGGGAGACTTCCCTCTAGAAGTATCCCAATTTAAAGAAGCTTTAGGAGTGCTGGTACCCTACAATTTAAAGTCTTACGCTGTGACAAAAATGCCTTTCGAGTAAGCCTTGGACTGATAAAATTGAAGCGCATTTTTGGCCAGTTTGACTGAAAAAATTTCTACATATCGTTTAACAGTTTTATTTGTCCCCATTTAAAGTACAAAGAAAGTATTTCCTCCCTCACTCCAAAAGGATAAGGACACTCTTGAACAAGCCACGAAATCAGTTCAGGGCTGAAATTCAAGCCTTATGAAGAGCGACTCCAATCTCTAAACGTTTTATCCATTACAGTACAGACATTTTAGAGGTAACCTTTTAATGGCTTACAGCATCCTTAACGCTTCTGGACACCCTCTTAGACACGTACATAAGTTTAGTTCCAACACAAACCCAAGGGGTAAAACCCAGAAACTGGAGACACAACACAACAGAACGGACTGTAAACACACCTACTCATTAAGAGTTGTCAAATGTTGGAATTCGCTGCAGGATGAGCTAGTCCAGACGACTTCCGTGGAGTCCTTCAAGAGGAAACTTAACATATTCCTGAGGACTAACGATTGTCAATTACAATGAATTACCAATTTCTTTTTCCTCTTTTGTCGTTAATATAGCTAGTTTCCTGCGTGGAGGCATTGATGGTCCACGATTACTTGACACGGAAGCCCGTTAAGCGAACGCTTCTTCTATTGCGTTCACAATCATTTGAACCATTTTGAATGAAAACCCTTGTCTAACACTAACAAAAATCTCAACGAGCTGTTTAAACTAATTTTGTATCTCTTTACTGATACTACTCAGTTAACTAAAGACATCATTTAAATAAATGGTCGTGAAAAAAACTCTTAGCCACATCAACAGCCCACCATATTTGGAAGCAATAATATAATTTTGATAGCATCTAACGGTTATTTGACGAAGTTATTATGTTGGTCACTTATCTACAGAACTCGTAAATCATTTTCGACAACTTTCCTAAGAGTGACACGAACTTTTTCACTTCTAGTTGATCAATTTAATCGTTCACCAGATTAATATCTTAGTAAATTAAATATACACGTACATTTTTTTCACTGGTATACAGTTCGCTACTATTATGAAGAACAGTTAGAAGCAAGACGAACTATAATATGATAAAGTCGGCATTACGAAACTGACTGTTGAATTCAAACCATAACATTTAAACATAGTAATCGTTCAATAAAGTTACTGGAGCAAACAAAGCTAGGAGTTCCCTACCGAATGTGCTGTACCTCGATTCAGTGTCTAGCAACCGTCTAGAGAAAAGTGCTAATGGTTGCCAGGAGTTGTTAACCCATTGTTGTAAGACGCCATCGATTGCCCAGTCCGATGCGTCTACTGCGATACTAATGGGTGCTTCGGTGTCCTGATGTGCGAGCATTGTTCCTTAACTGTGGAGAATGCTTTTCGTGCGGTGTCGTCCAAATTAATCGATTTCGCGTTTCCACGAAGTTGGTCGGTAAGAGGTTTCATAAGTAATGCGCATTTCGGTATGAAGCGTCTATAGAAACTTACCAGGCCGTTAAACGTGCGTAATTGCTTGACGTTGGTCGGTTCTGGGTAATCCAGAATGGCCGCCACTTTGGTCCTAAGATGTCGAATGCCTTGAGCATCGATAGTGTGTCCCAGAAAGTCTAATGAGTCGGTTCCAATTCGGCATTTCTGAACGTTTACAGTAATGCCATGTTTTTGTAGTCGTTCGAAAACAAGATCCAGATGCTTAAGATGTGTTTCTCTGTCCGGACTTGCGATTAGACAGTTGTCAACATACGCGTGTACGAAGTTGAGACCTCGAAAAACGTCGTCTATGAATCTTTGGAATGTTTGAGCATTCCTTAGACCGAAAGGCATTCGCAAAAATTCATAGAGTCCGAAGGGAGTTATGATAGCTGTTTTCGGAATGTCGTCAGTAGCCATAGGGATTTGGTTATACGCTTTAACCAAGTCGATTTTCGAAAAGACAGTTGTACCTTTCAAGGTAGCTGTCAAATCGTGAATGTGAGGCAACGGGTAACGATCGGGAATGGTTTTCGCGTTCAATCGCCGATAGTCACCAGTTGGACGCCAATCGTTGCTGTCCTTTTTAGGGACCATGTACAATGGAGATGCATATGGGCTACTTGACGGTCGTATGATTCCTAAGTCCATCATGTGATCGAGTTCGTTTTTCGCCAACCTTAGCTTTTCAGGAGCTAGTCATCGTGCTTTAGAAAATACAGGTGGTCCTGTAGTCGTGATGTGATGTGTAACATTGCTGGTTACACACGGTAGTTTCGGTTGAGTTTGTTGTATCCCAGGGTACTTATCGAGTAGTGGTTGATAGAGTGGGTCTATCACATGTTTAACTGTGACTGGGGATACTCTGCAACCAGTAAAAGAAGTTACGCAAACGGACAAATTAGTGTTTCCGTCTATTAGCCTCCGTTTGCGAGTGTCGATGATCAGATTGTGGTGTTGTAGAAGGTCCATACCAATGATTGGCATAGAAACATCTGCAACAACGAAAATCCAGTGAATGGGTTTGCGTAAACCCACGTTAAGGTAAACGTACCTTTTGCCATACGTAGCGATCGGTTTTCCGTTTGCCGCCTGTAAGTTTAGAGCCGATTCTTGAAGCCGATCGTTGGGACTCGCTGGGAGAACGCTAACTTCTGCGCCAGTGTCGACGAGGTAGCGAACTCTCGTTGTCACATCTGTGACGTATAACAGACGTCTATGTTCGCCGGCTATGGTTGCCGTTAACGCGTGCCGGCTTGGAAGTTCCCTGAGTTGTTTTTCGAATCAGTCGGTTTCGCGTTGGGAAAATTGCAGGGTTTTCTGCAATTTCTGGAAAACTTTTCATACTGGTTATGATACCAGCACCAGTCGGGGTTATCTTTCTCTCGTGGTCTAGAGACAGATTGCTTACGTGAAATGCTTCTACGTGGAGTGCGCGATCTCTTACGATCGGTACGAAGACTAAGATAACGCGTGAGTGTATGACATAAATCGGTTATATCATTCTGAGTCGTTTGAGGCTTTTCTTTGACTGAAAATACCTCGGTAGTAGAAGGTTTCGTAACTTCTAAAATGCGGTCGGCAGATGCAGCTAGCTCGTCTAAGGCGTTGTTCTGGAACGAGACCAGAACTGCTTGCACCTGTTGGGGAAGTTTTGACAAGAAGAGTTGTTTGAATAGACCTTCGTCGAAAGTTCTTGGGCCTAAAACCTCTCTCATTCGTTGGAACATGTCTGTCGCAGAACCGTGTTGCAGGTCGATGTCATTGAAGAGTTGATCTAACCTTTGTCGATCGGTTAGGTCTCCTCGTTTAAGAATAGAACGTTTCAAGATTTCGTAAGGTTCGAAAACACCACTAGTAAACATACTAGGTGTTACGTACCTGTTGAGTTCTCGCGGTATTGCCTTGACTACTGTGAGGAATTGTGCACGTGTGTCGTTCACGCCGTGCTCGGAGAAGTCGGCTTCTGCGTAGCAAAAACAGGCTTCGATGTTGTCGGGCCAGAAAGGCATCAGTTGAAACGAAGGTGGGGACAAAGTCTTAAGCTTGAGTACTTTAGATGTCTGTTCAGTCATGATGAAGTATGAAGTACGATAATGAACGAGGGGAAATATATATATATATATCCAAGAAAAAATACGAAAAAAAATCACAATGTTTAAAAAATAAGGCAATGATATATAAAAATTCCAAAAAGGAACAGACTCACATTTGCAATAAGGTGTACCAGATCACATCGATTTCACCAATGAGGATGTCACAGGTATTCAGTGTTTGATAACGCTTTTACCAGTAACACCTTCTAATATATTTCGTTCCCACCCAGAGAAATCAAAAGACAGAGTCGAGGAGATCGGAAGAGTGTATTTGGCGATTACCAATATATCGGAATTCTCTGATCTAATCTGGCTAGCGATTTCGGTTGATGTTGAGCAAGGCGTTACCACACGTGATCTGGTGCGGATGCATGACCTAGCGCCTTCAGCTAGATGAGTCCACTAAAACATATGGTCAGCATCCAATGTCGAACTTAGAGCTATTTATTTTGGGGATTTATTTACCGCTACATTACGTTTGAACACAAATGTTTAATATAATGTTAGGACTGAGAAACTGACTTTTGGGCGGTTTAAAGATTTCGAACTACTTTATTAATTTTCCGTGCAAACTGAGTTGAAATTTGTGAAAAATTCCGTCATTATTATTATTATTATTATTATTATTATTATTATTATTATTATTATTATTATTATTATTATTATTATTCAAATAAGGACTGATGAGGATGGAAGCTCGGTCTAAAATTATTTGTCATCACGAGATGAAATCAGCCATAGAATCAATAGAGATCAAGTATAAGTGAACAACCGTTTATTTTATATTAAGGACTTATCAGGAGTCCGCATCTGTTGGATTCGACCACTACTAAGTGAGACAGATGCAACTGAAAGCACATGATGGCTGTTGTGCAATATCATAAACTAAATGAATGTAGAAATACCAGTCTTCGAATTCTAACTCAGTGGTCTTAATCTAATTTACCCGCTAGCTGATCTGAAGAACGTAAATTTACCTCAAATGGCGTTATGGATGCAATATTGCTTATTTGGAAACTAAGGTTAAACATCAGTAAGGCTCTCCTTGGTTTACAATGGTATACCGCTGATATTGGTACTTGGCGAAAAAAATCTAAATTCGTTTGAATATCTTAAAATTCCTTTCCTGAACAGTTGAAAGACCAACTTACGATCAGTGGTTTTATATCATCGTCACTGAAATTTATTGTCGTCCCAGACTGAACTCCGTATAATCCTAAGAAATTTCTATAAACGGATATTGCACGCTTTGCAAGATCATCTGATTTCCGCGCATAGTGTGCTGAAACTTGACCTTCTTTTAGTGGGATCTATTGAAGGATAAGTATATACATGCATGGGTGATATTAGTTATTAGTCATTAGTTTAACCAAAATACATAGTAATCACAATGACATCTGAGATATGTCAATGTCTTAAAGTCAAGTAAAAGATCATTCGAGAGACTATCAGTTCAAGCTTTTAAACATCCTAACTATTAACTAGGAGTTTTTACCCTCTCAGATATATTTTAAGTATATTTCTGTTCGATTAATTGGTTATTAATATAAATTCACTTGTTAAGTCATTTTCAATCTGAATGGATTTAAAATTATGTTTTTCTAAATTCTTGTTTTGGCTTTAGATGGATATAACTAAAAACGACACTAGTTACCTATCTCTTGTTTGAAAATTTTCACTTGTCTATATGATATCATTCACCACTAGTATTTCGTATCATCCAATAAATACTATTCAATGAGTTTAAAATATCATACCAACAGCTCAGATGACCAATCTTTTTTAAAACAAATATATTATTGAAATACTTGTTTATGTCTTAAGAGGGATTATAAAGATACAATACCTCCAACACATACTTTGTAGTGCAAGTTTTATCTTTCTTTTTTTAATGAATGATCCTATTTCTTAAAATGTCTGCCGATTTATTCCATATATAGTTGAAGATAATATACTGAATTTGTTGGATTCTATAAGGGCAGTCATTTTAATGTTACAAATTCTGTAAAATTGCCAGTGTGTCACACTCAGTGAATGCATCAGAGCAGTTCAAAACAATCCTCGTAGCAAGATACAAGTGAAAGAAATTAGAAAATTCTCGTAACTGGAGAAAGGGTAAGTCTTAATTAAGACTTCTTATATAAACTAAAACTTTACGGCTAAAACAGATTTTGTAATATATTGCTCTAAGAATTCTTCAATAGCACATGTTCATTCATTATTCAGCTTTACTTTTAGTAACATTTCATATCTTCAAAAATTAATTTGCTCTGTCACAAGTATGGAGATTAGGTCATGGTACAAAAAATAAACTGATTTTACAAGGGAATCCCAAGTTTTGGTGGCACAATACTGTTAACGTACCAGATACATCTAGGTTGTTTTGTAATATTCGACAAATCAATGTATACCATGGAAAAAATGTTATCCAGAAAAATACTTAGGAATGTACTGGTATTATGGATGAAGCAAACCTAAAACCAGATACATATCTGTGTAACTCGATGGTACTAGACATCTCGAAAAAGAACCTCGAAATAAATGTGTAAAAGGAAAAATTGTCCAACCATTTCACTCAACATAACTCCGCTTGGAGCCTTTTAAGGGTTCCTGCTGGTTTCAAGACCATATAAAGAAGGTTTTGGCATGTGATTTACACCTCAACTCCCTAAGGAACAATGAAAGACTAAGAGGATCATTTAAGTTACTAAGGAAATAAAAAATATAGCTCGAAGTATCTTGGAATATGTGGAACCCTAGGGCGCAAGAACAAGAGAATAGGCTAGTCCCTAGAGAGTGATGTAGCCATGAACTGATGCTGTGCAAAGAAGTACGAAAAGAATATTATGGCATGTGAATCACATGGCTCTAGGATAACTGAAGCATTCTTTAAAAAGGAGGAAAAATTGCAATGCATATTATGGAACTCAACATGACTAATAGTGGCATTAGCAGAGATTATAAAGGTCAGTTTTGCGAGGTGATGACGAGAGGACAAAACGCTAAGGTCAGGATGGACGGCACTAGATATGAAGATATCATAAAGCGACATGGACTGGGAGTAAGAAATGAGAATAATGACTCTCAAATCTATATGCTTCCAACAAAATGGTTTTAGATGACATCATTTTCTCCCACAAACCCATATACAAACCCAAATGGGTTTCACCAGATAAAACCACGGAGAATCAGATCGATGACAACTGACAAGTAGAGAAATGTAGGAGACCTAGCAACGACAGATAAATTACCGTAAGGGAAGGAAATGTGACAGCAGCATGTAATACAATAAAGTCAACAGAATTTAATATGCATAGTAAGATAAAAATATAAGAGCGATAAATACTCAGCGACTGTTATCAATATTCTTTAAGTTAATTTCAAAGAAATCAGTTATAAGGCAATACATCCAACCAACCTCATCGAGTAGTTTCCTTTTCAAATCACGTAATGTACCCAAAGCTTCTGCTAGTTCGAATGTTAACTGGCGACATACGTGTAAGTAGTGATCCGGATTTAGTTGTCCTAATACATTATTTAACATGTCTATCCGTCGTTTATGCATACAACACTAAAAATTTGAAGAAAAATAAAATGTGATGCATAGCAAAAGTTATTCATAGGAAGTGTATAGGTAAACTTTGTACATGAGTTATTCAGTATTGCAAAAAATCTTACACAATAATCCGATGCTAAATACTGGAAAACTTGAACGGAAATAATACAACTACTGTTAGATTTTTTCTCCTTGCTTATCCTTAGAAAAAACTAGAGATGAATACATTAGAAATCATGTATCTTACGTATAACAAGGAAAAAATAGTTATAATAGATAGCTGAGCCTGTAAAAGACTTTTGTGATTAACGATGCAAGGGAGATATTGACTGCTGTAAAACACTTATGAAATATTTTTTCGAATGATTACAATTTCAATGTATGCCAAAAAGAAGTTTTCTGAAAGGTTTAGAAATATTATTATGGCATTTTACTGACTGTTTTCATTACTACTAACATTTTTATTGGAAACTAATGGTCCTCAAATTATCTAAAGTGAAGAAAGAATGTGATACAAGACTTATTTACAAATCAGTGACACATTATCATTAGTATCGATGTTTAATCTGATAACATAAAATAAATATCTGAACTTAATAAGCGGAGATTTCCACATTTTGTTTGAAATGATAACAAGTACTTTTCAATAGATATCTGGTCGAATGAATTCCTGATAATGATATCGGAAGATAGTTGGATGCTAAGGAGTGATCAGGTTATCTAGGAATTTTATTACATGTTAGTTCTCTCATATAAGGATAAACTTGATGGCATTTTCTTAATATTTACTGTCACTTTCCTTTGTCATTTGCATCAAGACCTTTCTTTGAAAAACATAGTTATTCCCTATCAATTTCGGACTTCTTAACGGAACACAAAGTTTTCCTGAAAAAACTTATCTTCTCTATCCCTATTCGGATGTGGAGTATAAATGCTAAAGTGTTGTTGTATGAAACACATCTGGTCTATTCGAGTTCCCACCTGATGAGTTGTATTAGAAGAACCCTTAATCATTCATAAATAAAAGTTATCGAAGGCCAAACGGTAACCTCTATAGGTTAAACGTTCTTTTTAATGCCTAACATTGGGAAGAAACGAAATGACTAAATTCGTGAATAAGGTAATTACTAGATTACAATCCAATGGCTCAAGATTTATGTGTTTGCTAAAAACGTGTAATTCTCAAGTTAAACGATTGAATAATTCAAGTATACTCCTCTGAAAGATCCTGAAGTATGATAAGTCAGTAATTTATTGCTTGTTATTTTTTAATAACATCCCAGATAGCCAATCAAAATTAGGGTTTTAACTTTTGCTTCCTGTCTGAAGATTTTCAGGTAACTCATCTAAGGTTCAAGTATAAATAAACAAAATGGTTAACATTTTAGTTACTCAGAGATTTAACTTTGGAATACCACAACACAATCGTACATTAAATGTGTATGAAATATGAAGTAAATATAATCGCCACAAATTTAAAGATGATAGTCATAATTACCTGTCTATTGATGTTCTTTTCGAAAACAGTCATTAGGCGATAAGCTTTACTTCGATCTTGAATCAGAGCAATTGCATCTGTGCAATGGTTTTGTAGTGTATAAAAGTTTTCAGCTTTCATTAAACAATTTAATATAATGCGAAATATTCCAGAAGCTGTTTCATAATTTGTAGGTGGTCTAATTAACTTGTAAATTAAATCGTTATTCTGTGGAATCACATTTGAAATTGAATTTTTTACATTAAAATTATAGTCTAATAATCCAGTAAATATTGGCTGTAGCTCCAAATTAAACATTGATCCAAACTTAGTAACTAAAAGTAAATATTCAGACAAAAGTATACTTTGTCTTCACTAAATAAATAACAAAATACTTTTCATTCAAAAGTTATGATTACTCACTGCTTCCTTAACTATACAACTCTAAGTGACTTTAACTCTATAATCTTCTGTCTATTTATTTATGGACAGCTCCAAATTGTAAGTTTAGTCTGAACTGTAACTCTCCAGTGGAATGCTCTTCAGCGGAAAATGGAAATTTGAAAACACTATTATTATTATTATTATCTATGGATGAGCGTAAGTATGTTTCAACATGCACTGTATTCAATGGTACAAATAGTCTCAAGTTAGAGTTACCAATTTTAAGCGCTTGAGTTTGATTATCTTCGTACTAAAATGTTCAGCTCAGAAATTGGTAACTGGATATATACTATGCTTAGCTGTAATACATAGTAATATCCATATCCTCATACGAAAAATATTAAACTAGTCTATGATGATAGTGAAAAGGGAATACATAAATAATTATAATAAGTATGAATCGATCTTACTACAGGTGTAGTAATTTTCATATTCCCAATGAGTTTGTAATCTCTGTTTTGATTTGGCTGAAAAAAATTGGTAAACAATTTTACTCATTCCTCCTACCACCTCATGTTTATTTTTCCTCACTCCTAAAAAATCTTAGCTTTACCACGTACACATTTAAAAGGATTCTTCGCGCACTTTCTGTTAGGTAGTTCTGACGACTGTTGTTTTACTAAGTATACTTTCCTAATTTTTGAGTTGATTCCTGTGAGGAAATATTTGTTCATGTTACCATCCAGTTTGTTTTCCTTATAATTGCTAATATGCATGATATCCTACTAAAAATTCATGTTTTTACCCAGTATGGTTGTTATGCAATCTTTTCGGTCGTTATCGCTAGCTTCCAAATTGCCTTGATCAGTTTAGTATTGTTCATATACGGACATAAGTTTTACTGATCTAACTAAAAACACTATTGTTTAGTTGCATGTTATTCTGGTTTGCACAATGGGAACTTATATTACTTTAAAACCAACTTTCTCCAAGTATGCCTAATTATCCAAACTGAGTTTTAACTATTTAAATGAACATGAACCAAACACCTTTAACCAATGACTTGGTTTGAAAGAAACTGAACGCGTACAGATGATTTGTACTTTATGTGCTTGTTGATCTACTTAAAATGTACAACTGATTCTTGATATTTATTAATGTCTATAACTGATTCTGTTCAATACCAGTTACTAACTTACCGTTTTGTAATTCATGATATTTATTAAACTCTGAGTCTTCACTGGTTATTCTTTCATCAGCTAAGTTCCCATATTGTTTTGTACCTTTCTCAAGTAGATCAAGACTGATCTTCACTAGATTACGATAAATGTTTGCTAAAGTATTGTCTACTTGACTGGATGGAATGTTGCCTTCAAACCTAGCTTCTTCCACAACACTAAAACAGAGTTATTTAAAAACAAATAATTTAGTTTGTAACGTTATTTTCCCAATAAATATAATGATTTGTAGTCTTTTATTTACTGACCAAAATGTAATTTTGTAAAATGAGAGCTGGACTTAGTATTATTCTTCATTGACTAACACTGTTTGACTTATCGTTAAATCATCCACAATTTAATAACTGTAAGTGCAGAGAGAATTTACTAAAATTACTAACCATTTGATTTACAAGTATTACAAGACTATCTGCCACTTTAGATTAGAATTAAATAATGATTTTCAAAAAATTGCAATCCGAAATAAATGGTACTGTACTCATTACAAAAGTGCTTTATTGCTTAATTTGCCACAATAAATTGCACTTAATAATGAGGAGACTTAAATCTTGTGTACTGGATATAAATATTATGTAGCTTATGAGGTTGAGGTGTTAGATAACGAGAAATTATCAAACTATTTAATAACGTACGATGGAATGAACAGTTTTAAACTTGGAGAATCAGTACTAACAAATCTGAAGGGAAGGTTTTTCACAGTTTATGACCAATCGAATAAATGCTTTTAAAAAGCAAAAATTACTAACTGGGTTGCTTTTTCCAAGCTTGTTCACAAGTAGGCAGACATTGATCATTTTCAATGAAGTTTAGTATTCGGACAGTCTGAAAAGAATGCATTATTTGACTAGACTAACCTAAATTATGTACCTGCCTGTAATCAGATGTAAGTATAGAACTTTTGTCATAGTAGAACATGATAACCTTAAGGAAAATGACTTCCCCTAACTGAATGATTTTATCACTGGACTTTTATGTGTTTCTAGGTATCATCAGGATATGTCATAACTTTTTAAGTATGTATTGATGATGTTGTCTGGGAGGCAATAAAAGCTATACAACTAAACCATTCAGCTTAGAGAACGCAATTCCATCAAGAAATCAGTTCCGCAATTATGAATGATTCCTTGATTTTTAAAAATTTCTTTACTATGCTCTTGATGGTTTTGTTTTTCATTATCATATAACAAAATGAACAATGTTCGGGAACAAATATCATTTTATATGCTGGTTCATAAATAGATAAGTCATTATTAAATAGATTCAAATACATAATTTTTCTTACTGAACAGCTGATAATAAACATTCGAACGTCTTATAATAGCAGTTATTTTGATTTCCAACTGATGAGAAATAGTCGCTTAAAGCGACAGCATTTGTAGCCCATTCTATAGGATCAAAGTTCTGGAAAAGATAATATGGATGTCGTTCAGAAAATTTTCTATTTTCCAAATCTCTAAGTGAATGAGCTGATTTGATACGACTTATATTATTTTGTAAACGAGAAGAGTTATTGACAGCTTTTTTGAAAGATTTACCGAATGTCAATTGACGTAACAAAGTTAATTGACAATAATTAGCCGACTGAGCCCGTTTCCCAATTAACTGATGAACCTAAAAGAAATAAAAATTATTTCGTCAGTTTTAACTTGTGAAAACTCTTATATACCGCGTGGTTTGGTTTATATCTGAAAGTGTTTTAAATACTTACCTGGGACGGTTCAGTACTTACGAATGGTATGAAAACGAACTCATGAACTCAAGAAAGATCCATTTTAAACAACGAGACTTCTTTACAAGAATTTCGTTTTTAAAAAAGCTTAAGGTTACTGGAAATCTGTTTTGTTCTTATTAACTAATAATCACTTTGTACATAATCACTCGCTCTATTTGTAATTCGAATACAATATATACACATGAGTTTACAGTCTCTTACCGTTTTGACCACTGTCCCACTTGTATTACTAAAGTACGCTCTGAATAGATTTAGGAGTCTGTATACCATAAAACACACATTACGATTAATTATTCTAGAACCAATATGTGCAGATGAATATAATAATGCAGAATATGTTGTTATTGTAACTCTCCTAGATATATTCAATAAGGTTCTGCTGCAGACACTTTTCTCAGGATGAGATACACTTCTAACGTAGTCTTTATTTCTAAAACAAATATTAAATCATATAATAAACCTACGTCCCACAAATTAAAAAAGTTTGCAGAAAAGTCACTAGTAATGTTTCAGCTAAGTCTGTAATAAAGAGATATATGAAAAACGAAACTTATTCATCCTCAAAAAATAGTATCATACTGCAGCTGGATTAGTTAATGATACATTTTTTAATTGTCTGAGATGAAATTCATAGCTACGAATATAATATAATTGCATGGACCTTTTAACCAATATTTCCTTGTCATATATTACCTGACCCCAAAGGCAGATGACATTTAGTATAGTCATTTGACAAACACCTACAGATATGACACGCTTATGATACCACACATTGTAGCAAAATATCAATGTGATAGTAAATAAGAGATTCATCAACCCGAAACGCTTGACAGAAATAGCAGCGAACTTTTAGATACAAAATAGATACATTTAGTCTAACAACTATGACAATATGAAAAGCAATATTAAAACAAACGTTTCTAAAAATTACTTTACATTTTTAGTGCTATAAATCACAATTTCAAAAATAAACCATATTTCATTTTTCATTAAACCTAATATAAGTTCATTAGGTTTATATATTGTCTTATCTTACGACAGAACACTGATTTACTCCAATCAATTTATATATCACCTCGAAATGAATATATGTTCCCCTCGTTACGAAACCTGACATATTCTTTATTGAGATATTTGGTTCTCTTTACATGTTAATCAAAGTCCAGCCTGATCATTAACATATCGATGGCTTTTATTACGTCACAAAATATTTAATGAGGCACTAATTCAACACACTTATTTTTTCTTGAAAAACTAGTAAAGAAAGTTTATTGTCTATTTATCCGACTAAAATGGTAGACATTCAGTCATAATTAACATAGATCTTGATATAAGTGTGCATTGCCAAACCAGTATAATGTAATGAAATCAATAAGGTGAGTAGAAAATAAATCAAATTGGTGTAGTAGCAATAATGATAAGGGAGACTAAACAGTGAGAAAGTAGTTCAAAAAGAAATCGGAAGATATATATAATGAGATACTAAAATTCACGATATAGAGGAAGATAATGAATAAATTAATCTATTCTACCATAACCGATTTTTGAGTTACCTCGAAAAATTCTTCAACCACTGATAGCAAATTTAAAACAGACCCATGCAATATATGCTCCATCTGTCAACACGACTTATACCAGCTGTCAACGACCCCAAAAACTGGGTTCATTTCTCGGTTTGGCAGAGCCTAACCTTCTTATAATCTACCCCTTAACCAACTAACAACCCGTGTTGAGATAATCGGTGTTTGTGCATTCGCAACATAACTCAATTGATGAAGGTTTGTAACCTCAATAGTCAATGTGCATCATTTGCTTAGCAACCTGTGCCTAACACCAGCTTTACTCAGTTAGCCATCTTATGACACATGAGTAATGTCTTGAAGATACCTACGATTAAACAAACACATGAAGCCTACACATATAGTCTACTGTGATGTAACCAGAAATGTTTTATTAGAAGCCATACATAAGGTTTATTTACTCCGCAAGTACACCACTCAGTGACAAACACTGTCATAAAACTCCTCGGTTGGTGTAATAAAGTGGCATTTTAAGGTGCAAAAATATGAGTACAATCGGGAGTCCTTAAGTGTATCTATTTGAAAAGCAGAAGGATTATAAAGATTTGGCCAACAAATTTATGGCCAGATATCTAACCGATTCTGCAGACATTTTTATTCAAGAGCTAAATATAGGAGTTGAATGATTGCCAAGATTTGTATTTTAGATATCAAATTAGTTAAATTTACTCCTCTATTGTTATTACAATGAAATTCTCTACTGCCCAATAAACTGAAAGGATCAGTGATCTTCAGGGTCACATGAAGTTAAATGCAGCTCTTAAAAATTAGTTGATAATCCAGTCAATCCAAATACTCAAAGCGAATCACATTGCTTAAAGACCCATGTAGCCAACATTTAAGTCCCTATTGTTTTCCCTCCCCTGAAGTTGAACGTGGTCCTTTTAATTCAGCTAAGAGTTAAGTAAAGTGTGTTGATTTTTTAGTAAAGTTCTTCAGAGATGTTGGGTAGCTAACAGTCAGTCAAACTGAGCTTTAAAATGGCTTGCCGATTGACCCAAACTCCTGGTCTGACAGGATAATAGACAGATAGGCATGGGCGAAATCGTCAAATATGAGTGTCTCAATTGTGTATCCTTTTTATCACCACAAACAAATCTTAATTTGCTCCAGTGACAACATTCCAAGTAATCGAAATGGTACGTAATTCAGAAAATACCCAAAAATTGATTTTGCATGAATAAAAAAGGTATCATAAAAAATTAACAGACTTGTGCGAGTATAAATATGGTTTTTGTGTATTCATGTTCAAAAATCAAACGACAAGCTGATAGATTCTGTTTGTTTAGGCTTCCAGACTCTTGGTCTTCATTTATCCGATTTGACTTTGAACATAATAATATATCCAGAAATTCTGGACCGGTATTAGGTGGACTTTGTTGTGTATATAGCCTGTAAACCCTTTGAGCACAAGAAAGCCAATGCAAAGGATCCTTGTAAGTTGGCAAAGACTGTTTATTTGTGATATTTGTAACGTGAATGATAGCCAGTACATTGAACAATATTTGAAAAACACCAGCAAGCATGTTGAAAAGAACTATCTCGCTGGATGAAAAAACATTTATCTCCGATGAACCTTCACGTAATCAAATTTAAAATAAATTTACCTTTGATGGTCATTTTTTGGATGAGTGAATCAACAGTTGAACAAGCTCTACTGCTATTGACACAAGGATACACGATTTCGTTTGCTGAAGTTTATGCGTTTATCAGCGCAAAATTTACCGCTAAATGTGTCTCCAATCTCCAAATAGTACTTCGCAATTTTAATTCTTATGAAACTCCAATAAAAGAAGTGAGTACCAGTTATTATTTTAGGAAAGCAATCTTCGAACTTATTAAGAAGTTCCATGTACTTCTCATGCAAACATTTCTTAAGCCTGTTGCAAAAGGAACCTATGTTGCGTGAGACGGTAATGTTTTCAAGCGAACTTATATCATAAATTAACCTGCCATTATCTTGCCAAAAGTGCTTAACTCGAACCATCGCAAGTTTATTGTCGAAACAAACACTGTCGTAATAGTGGATTAAAACAAACAAGCTGTTACTTATGTATAAGGTATGCCGATAATTGATCTTTTCTTTATTTTTTCTTGCTTAATCACGCTTGTTAGCGTTTTATGAATCGAACATCTAGTAAGTTTGTGCTGAGGCGGAATTAACTGCGGCAAATAGTGTCTAGATAATACATTCAATATCTTTATGATGTGCTTTCACAAACCAACTGATTTATTTGCACTTATCTCTTGTGGTCTTATCATGATAACGAGTTTTTAGTAGCGCCCGGTGTGTGATAATATAACCATTTGCTTGTAATAATTCTAGTCATTTTGGTAGTTATTTATGGGTTTGTATATCATGTAATGTGAGTATACGAGTTTGTCTCATCGCATTAGAGCTTCCGGAATTAGTGAGGATCATATTACTAGGCAGAAGTTTGGTTGGCTGAAGTGTGTGAAATAGTAAAAAGAAAACTTGAAATGACAAAACCTGCTCCTGAGGCTATTGGAATAGTCGATGTGGTTGCGGAACTGTAGTGGCATTGGACAATAACCGCACAATCCACAAAGCTGAACACGAGACTACTCAGGAAATAGATATTCAATATTTAACGCGGATAAATACCTAACAATGGAGAAGGCGCGAAGAATGAATTGAATGGACTGAGTTGATCGAGTGGCATGGCTCAGCCATGCAGGCGTGGTCCCTTCTGGATGTTATCTTATATCTCCTATTCATATTAAATATATTGTTCTTTCTCTAGCTTAACCTTGTTCTACATCATGTATTGGCAATTGATACGATACAGTGAGTTGGTGTAGTCGATGGTGTGACTTCCACGTAAGATCTTATAGATTAGGCAGTTATATCATGACAAATCTACAATTTTAGGATTAGGTCTATTATTAGAGCAGTACTAATATCATAGTAGACCATAATTCTACAGAACCACTAAATGAACCATCGGGTTCACACTGCAGTTTTGACCAATTATGTCGTGTCGGGATTCTCTCCAGACCATTTCCCAAACATCATTACTCATAATTATAGTGCACCTCTAAATTCCTAGTATTGGGCCGACAGACTGTGCTAAAACTTAATTTTAATAAAGATACTGAAGGATATCTAGGTGCATTTAATACGCTGTAGACTATCTTTTGAGTTGCTTAAATCCCAACAGGTGAGAATCTTAACTTTGAAGTCGCCACTTGTAGAATTTTAAATTGGGTGTTTGCCAAGAACAAATAGAAGTTTGCATTCTAACCAAGGTTTAGAAAGAAAACAAATTAAAGGGTATGGTATGCACACTGCCTCACGGTCCTCTCGATGGAGTTCGATTGTTTAATCCTCATAAGTTATACTTCACTTGAGTGATGTTCACCAAATCTTTCGTTTCTTTCAGTAGTATCTACTCAGTTGTTACATTCTCAGATTATGGTTTTGCATAACCTTAGGAACACCTTGAAACGATTCTCACGACAAACCGATTTATACCAAACATGACGATACTGAGCATTCCTCATCAGTTATTGTCGCGATTGGGACTGTCGGTGTCCTTATGCAGACTGGAGTGTACTGTTGCCGACTGTCCTCGATTGTGAAAGCCTATCTAGTAAACAGACCATAACGCAACATTCGGCCTTTATTTAGCAATTATGAAAATTCACAATTGACTGGTCACTAGATGATGATGAATGTTATGTGTGTCAAGTCTTTCTTAGTGCAGATCGAATGCTATCGACCAAGTTGCAATGTGGCCACTAGTCTAGGTGACTTGACATTGCGTACACTATATTGAGATAGAATAGTGGTTGAAGGTAGTCAACAGGAAACCCTGAGTGACACGAGATTGAATCCGTCAGAGAGCACCAACCTCCTGAAGATTACAAACACACCTTATTGAAGAGTGCCAGGTAGCACGAAACCCGGATGCAGGGTTACTATTGATTACCTTCAATCACCATTATACAATTACAGCAAGTTTCTTCACTGATTTAATAATATTAACGCAGTGGCAATAACACCATATTAAACAACAATAATAAGAACAGATGTCTCTCACACTTTCCCCAAATATTCTCATTGACTCTGGAATCCAGATATGAATTGCGAATCCCTCGCCATATAGCCACGAACAAGATTACATTATGGTGATACTGGAGACATAAAAAGGGGTGTAATGGAGAGGAAATGCTGAAAATTTCTCCGTAGCATTTCGTTGGACAGAAAGTCAGTTGTTTTTTCTTCTCCCGGTCATGCATTTCAACCTCTATTCAGATCGCTTTTAACCGTACTTTATGTTCTCCAGTCTTGCTTGTCTGTGCCCTTACTATGTGATTTGGTCGAAGACTTACTTTTGTTGTTCAATATTTTTGTTGACAATGAGCTTGTGTTTGACCAAGCTAAAAGTCACGTCGTGGTTCAGTGTGTGACTGTTAATCTTTGACTATATGCTTGGAAGGATTTCTGGAATCCCTGAAGATAGATATCTGATACCATCTTTTTGGGAAGACTTTTATTGATTTTCAGGTATTGGACACTTGTGCATTAACGATTTCTATTGTTGTTTAGTACGCCGATTTGTGCATTGAGAAACACTTGATTGAACAACAGAGGCTGTACCGTTTGAAGCATTTTGTATTTTTGATATAATTTGTTCTATTTCTTAAATTAGAACCGTTTAAACTAAGCGCAGAGTTTGTGTTTCGATATAATTTAATATGAGTAACTCAATAACGCTTTGTACGCTATACAGAAGAACGTAGTCTGGTCTAATGTAATAATTTTGGGATAGTTAGTTTTGCTTCCAAACCGAATATTAACACTTTGACCGGTACGCGGAGTGCTATTACGACCAGTGGTACAGAACCTCACCTTCCTGGACACTTTCTCATCAAAAGGGGGGCTTGAACTTTTCCTCATTAAACCAATAGCTTTGCAACACCTGTTTAACCTGGAGCGATGTTTGCGAACATAGAGAAGACACAGCAAACACAAGTAAACCAAACGCAAGTGCAACATGAACTCATACCCGGCGACATACAGGGGACAGACAAGTCTTACAGCAGTGCGTCTAACTGCTCCTGTTCTTTCCAGTTGTTTGGAGACACTCATTTGATAGGGATAAACGTTTTGGCTCAGTAGCGAGTGCACTTCATAGTCTTGATTCTTAGCTTCACCTTATACAGTTTCACACTGACCAACACAATATTATTTATACTACACCTTTATCGATCCAACAGTCTTTCAGCTCGTCTATCGTTTGCCGATCGTATTCCCTCAATCATTCATAAGTAACTCTTAGCCTAGCCTAAATTAACGACCACATCACACTACTTGAAGCTTTCAAACTAAATCAGCATAGAATGACAAATAAACGTTGGGGTTAATTTAGAAACACGCCGTCACTCAGTGGAAACAAAACAAACTAACCGAGTTAGTAATGATAACCGATTTATTATAGATTCAGATGAATATTTTCATCTAAAATATATTACCACTCAATTATTTAATCAACAGTTGATCAATCAGTAGTCAAGGCTAAATTCCATTAGATAAACTGCTAAATTACCAAGCGTAATCAATAAATGTTCCTATCAACACAGAAATGTTATTCTAGACATTCTGGTTAAATCACTCACAGACTGTTTGTAAGATAATATTTGGCTTTGTAACCACTCGAAGCGTTTCCAATTCTGGAAAATTGCTTTAATTCACCATCATTAAGTACAATTTCCGTCAATTCAGGCAACTCAAATCAACATGGCAGCTACCATAACTAAATTTCAACTCAAACGACGTTGTTCGGGAAGGATGTAGTGGCATTGGGTCATAACCACACAATCCTCAAAGCTGAACACGAGACAACTGGGAAAATAGATAATCAATATTTAACGTGGAGAAATACCTAACAATGGAGAAGGCACGAACAAGTTATTGAATGAATTAGAGTTGATCGAACGGCATGGCTCGGCCATGCAGGCGTGGTCCCTGATGAATGTTACCTTATATCTTTTATTCATATTAAATATATTGTTCTTTCTCTAGCCTATGCTTGTTCTCCATCAAGTATTGGTAATTGTTATGATACAGTAAGTTGGTGTAGACGATGACGTAACTTCCACGTAACATCTTATAGATTAAGCAGTTATATCATGACAAACCTACTATTTTAGGATTAGGTCTATTATTAGAGCATTACTTATATCATAGTAGACCATAATCCTACAAGGACATGGAAATTTAGTGAAAACATGGAGGAAAGCAAAATCTCCAGTGAAATTAAAGTTGTATCATCCCAAAGCGAATCAAAGCATCAACAAGTTACATCTGAATGAGTCAAGAAGAATTAATCACGACAGTATGTGTGTAAAGGGATTTTCCTTCACAAACTTTCCAAAAGGACCTTACACCGACCGAAAAGATTTCTCCATGCAACATGAGGCTGCTTTAATACCTTCAGTTATGCTTCATCCTGCAATATACTTGACACTGGAGTAGAGAGTAAGACTTGTAGCAGTATGCCTACCGGTCCTGCCTGAACTGATGTAGCAAGAAACTGCTCAGACCATTCAAGGATACATACGTTGCGTATATCTACGCTAACTACTCTGTTCATTGCACGAATTTTCACCATCCAAACCTTTCCGTGTTCATCCGTTTCACAACCCTCTACCGCTACTATAATCGCTTTCCACGAGTCGAAACATCCGAAGCCACATTCAACATATCTCCTTTCTCGATGTTTAACTAAGCATTTTTGATCTACCAGTAGTGACGGCAAACATTTTTTAGCCACCTTCCCCGAAGCACATGAGCTAGGTAATTAACCTGTTTCCAACGTATGTACCACATATCTCTGAAGTTACCCTCTTCAACTATTCCGTCATATTTCCTCAATATCAGCAAAGTATTTGGGGACAAAGCCAGTTTATCGTCAGAATTTTAGATAAATAGGGTCAAAGGTAAATGATTTAATCCTTTCAACTCCAACTAAATAAATGACCAAAGT